ACGTTATTCCTGCTTCTCCCCCGGTGTTTCCGACGCGCCCATGCCAGCCTGGCCCGGGACGGCGCGGTCCATCAGAATCGCGTTGAGCTTGAGGTTTGGCGATCCCCGGGCTCCGCCTCATCGTGCCCATTTTCTTCGGGGCCTCCGACTCCTCCTAAATTATGGGACCACGAAGCGTGGCATGCAGGCCCCCGGCACGGGTAAGGGGGAACAGAAAGCAGTAAGACACTTGAACATCAACTTTGTTGCGCCCTCCTCGTAAAGGCCGCGCATTTGCTGGTAAGGTGATGTAGATTTCGCAGTCTTGGGGTAAAGAACTTTCACATAAAAGGGCATCGTGGACGGCGCGGGGAAGGGTGAAGTGCGCCCTCTACTGGGCGCGGTGCAGCGTGAGTGGACAACAATGCGTTCTCTGGAGAGCTTTCTGTGAAACAAACGCTGGCATTGAACAAATCACGACGTAGGAGGTCGAGGTAGGAGGAAGTGCAGACACGCACGGGGATGAGAAAGCGGCCGATCGCATGTCTGCCCCTCGACCATCGGAGAACTGAACTTCGGGAAGGGGTAAAGTCAATCCTCCTCCTCCTCCTCCTCCTGCTCCTCTTCCTCCTCCTGTCGCTCCTCCTCCCACTGAGGCAAATCGGCCCCGTGAGCCCCGCGAGGCCAGTGGGCCCCATGAGCCCTACGAGGCCGACAAGCCCTGCGAGCAGTTCAGGCTGCGCTCTGCATGAGCCTCGGGCTGCTTGGAGCCCGTGTGAGAGGCCGGCGGGCCCTGTCTATCCCAAGAGGTCGATCGTGCGCAGGAGCTCCGTGAGCCCTAGGTCCGCCTCCTCCTCCTCCCTTCCTCCCTTCCTCCCTTCCTCCTCCTCCTCCTCCTCCTCCTCCTCCTCCTCCTCCTCCTCCTCCCTCCTCCCTCCTCCCTCCTCCCTCCTCCCTCCTCCCTCCTCCCTCCTCCTCCTCCTCCTCCTCGTCCTCCTCCTCCTCCTCCTCCTCCTCCTCCTCCTTCCCCTCTTCATCGTGGTCGCCGCCGACGTCGCCGTCGCCCTCCGTCGAGCCCGAGGGGCCGCAGGGGGCCTTTGACCCCATGGCCCTTATGCCACGTGAGCCCTGTGAGCCCTGCAAGCCCTATTGCGCGTACACCCTGCGAAATGCTTAAGAAATCATGGGTTAAGAAATTCATATTCTCAGAACTTGAATCAAAACCCGACATTTCCATTAAAATCTTAGGACTTACATTGAAACATGAAGAATAATCGAGACTCTGGCCGAAAACTTAAGTTTTCTTAAGCATCGCCTAAGGTGTATCGGCCCTGACGGGCGCAATGCGGCCGATGGGCCTTGTGAGCCTTATGAAGCCGATGGCCCCTGTGAGCCCAAATAGGCCGACAGGCCCTCTGAGCCCGATGGGGCCGAGAAGCCTGATGAGCCCGACGGGCCCTCTGAACCCTATGAAGCCTGGTCCCATCATGAGGCCCATGCGGCATGGGCAACGCACCCTGGGAGGCCGATGGGCCATCAGAATCCTGTGAGGCGGCCTTGTCGAGTGAGCAATGTAAGGCCGACTGGCCCTGTGAGCCCTATGTATGAGGCTTTGCTCTCTACGACAGTCACGCCGCATTCGCAGGTAAAAAATTTGGGGCCAATGGGCCCAATGAACTCTATGCGGCCGATCGGCCGAGCGTGCCCTACGAGACCCACGAAACAAACGGGCCGTTGGGGCCTTATGAGCCCCATTCGCCCCACGAGCTTCATAGGTACTATAATCGTCACCGGCCCTGTTCACCGCAGGAAGCCTATGAGCCCTGCTCGCTCCTACGGCCCCCGTGGATTCCATGAGGTCCATGCGGACATGAGCAGCGGGACCCCCCCTACATTATTAGGTGGCGTGGACACGAGATCGGTTGATCAGGGGGCAGGATGGGGAGAGACCAGAAGAAGGTGTGGGAGGAGGGGGGAGAACGGCGACGAAGTATTGGTAGGAAGAGGGAATGAAAGCAACCAGTCTAATGTGTAAGGGCGAGTAAGACGAAACACTGTGGGCGACTTATGGAAGCACGCACGGATAACGCTCTAGGATCGGTGTTCGCCGCGTCAAAGCGGGAGCGCAATTTCATTTTAAAAAATGCATGGCGGTGATGAGATATCGACATTTCGCGGCGACGTGCGCCGCGTCCAGCTCCCGCCACGCATTGCGCAACGTCGACGATAGAACGCCCATGCAAGGAGGAATACTATACTTTGTAGAAGGAGGCGAGGGGGGGGTGAGGAGGTGGAGGGGAAGGGGAAAGGAGCAGCCAGGAGGGAGGAGAAGGATATGCAAGGTGCCTGCCGAAAGAGAAAGAGGAGGAAACTCACGCAGCCTAGGCCGCTAGAAACATAAATCCTCGACTGGGGCTCACTCATAAGGTTCATCGGCCTCATACGGCTGACCGAACTCATCGGCATCATAAGGCTCACTGGGGCAACACCCAGGTGAGCGAGCATGCGGCGCCGGCTCGCAGGGGCCCCATTGAGCTCAAGGGGCCCGTCGGCCCCGTAGGGCCGATGGGCCCATTGGCCTCATAGGTTTCACAGGGCCCGTCGACCTGATGGGTCGCATAGGACCCATCGACCTCATAGGGCCCATCTCGGCGCTCTCCCCGACGGCCTCTGGAGAACGTGAACGTGCAAGGTGGCACCGCGCACTCTGGGACCTTACGCTTTGCTCAGGGCACTCGGACTTCTGCGGCCCGAGCAGAAATGTTCTCCCTGCGCATGAACTTTTCCCGGTCATAAGCCAGAAGCAGGAATAAGGTGGCCCGCTTTCGAAGTGTGGCTCTCGCCTTTGGCGCCGCGCCCACTCGCTGCAAATAGTTGTGAACGTTGCGCGGACGGTGAGCGGCCCGCCTTCAACATGTGGCTCTCGCATTGGCGCCGCGCGCCTTCGCTCTACATGTGTAAGAAGTGTCGCGGATGGAAGGCGCACATTCGCTGTACAAGTTAGCAGAGGCTTCACGGATGGAGGGCCGCCCGCTTTCAAGATCTGGCTCTCGCGCTGGCGCCGCGCACCTTCGCTGTAACATTCAACTAGAGCTTCACGGATGCAGGGCGGCTCCTTTTCAAACTGTGGCTCTCGCATTTAGCGTCGCGCACCTTCGTCTTAAGAGTTTGCAGCTGTCCCAACGTTTCTCATGGCTGACGTCCCAGATATGGTGTTTTGGCACGATGTCGGAACGTCAGGGCGCAACAGGCAACTGGTCCCAAGAGCGGCGTTCTGGCACGATTCAGGATCGCCAATACACAATAGTAATGCTGATTCGAGGCGTTGAGGTCCCAAGAATGATGGTCTGACAACGTTCCAGATGTTCAAACGGCTGTCTTCCAACGGAGCACGTCCCTCAGTGAAAGTGAATCCTGGTCGGGGTCTATGAAGAGGCAACTTGGACGGAGGGTCGATTGAAATGTCGTTGAGGAGTCTTGGATTTACACTGGTCCTGTTTCTCCTCCTCCTCCTCCTCCTCCTCTTCCTCCTCCTCCTCCTCCTCTACCACCCCCGTCCCTCCTCCCCATATCCTGCCCCCTCTTGCTCTCGCCCTTCCCCGCCCCTCGGGCGCATGGGGAGCGGAGCGGCCTCAGCGGCAAATGCCAGAGCACACGGCAACGGCGGCCCTCGCCACGCTCGCGCGCCACTGGCGGCCGACCTGGGCTGCGCGCTGGGTGGGACGTGCTGGGAGGGGCAGAGCAGGAGACTGGGCCTGTGCCGAGCATCGGAAGAGGGCCAATCGAGACGACGGCGGGCCTCCCTGGCGTTTGGCGCCCTTCTCGTCGCCGCGACTGGATCCGCGTCGAACAACCGGGTCAGCATGGAGGAGGAGGAGGAGGAGGAGGAGGAGGAGGAGGAGGAGGAGGAGGAGGAGGGAGGAGGGAGGAGGAGGGAGGACGAGGAGGCGGAGTAGGAGGAAGACCCCCTGGAGGGGTTCGGGAACCGATCTGGAGCGGAGTCGGGCCGTGCGGGAGGGCCGCCGCGGCCTCAGCGGGCCCGCCGCCGGGGAGCGCGAGGCGAGCAATGCCGGGGTGCGCACGTCGTCCTCCGTGGTGGCCCCGTGAAGGGCGAGCGCAGCCGCCCAGAGGAGGAGGGGCGAGGGATGGGGGGCAGGCCAGGCGCGCTCGCGCCACATCTGACATCCTACCCCCTCAGCATCGCTGGGACGTCCATTCCCTGTGTTGTTTTTTGGTTTCGTGCGTGATTTTTTCGCCAAATGATTAAGGATGCTCCTCGATGGTCCTCGCCGAAAGAAAAATGCACACGTCCGAGCGACGCCAAGACCCCATCCGCCCAGCCCTTCCCTTTGCGCATTTGTTCTCCGTCCGCGGACGCGTGGCGTAGTCGACCTGGGGTTCCAAAGAGGACCCTATCGTGTCATGCGCAATCGGAAGTGGCCGAGGAGGAGGAGGAGGAGGAGGAGGGGGAGGAGGAGGAGGAGGAGGATGAGGAGGAGGAGGAGGAGGAGGAGGAGGAGGACGAGAGCAAGCAGCAGCAGCAGGAACCAGAGTAGAAGGTGTGGGAGAAGCAGGAGGACCAGGGGAAGTCGGAGGAGGGAGAAGGAGGGGAGCGACAACGATGAGGAGAGGCTCGGATTCAGAAAGCAGTGGCCCGCGCTGGGGCGAGATCGCCACTCTCAACGACGGGGGCGAAGCGCCGATCCTGAAACAAGGCCAGCGCCGCAACGGCAGCAGCAACGTGAAACATAGTTTACGTTCCGATCGGGAAACCATCGTACGTAAACAGACACCATGCGCGGTGGCAGGCGGGCGACCCTCTGGCAATCTCCAGGGAATGGAGAGCAACATGCCTGCAGGGCACGCGGGACCCCTCCCGGGGGCGACGCGGGCTGGGGAGGCAGGCTTCTTTCCCGCGGGGCTGTACCTCCACGAGCTGCACGTGAGGAGCCGAGCTGCCGGGAGCCGAGGGGAACTGGCGGGCCGCACGCGTAGCGGAGCCGCCCGCGCGCGCGAGAGCCTCACGCCATCGCCATGGGAAGCGCCATCAGCATGCGGCAGTAAGGGTGGATCCCCTCGCGCGCCACGGTGCCCTTCTGCGGCGCGGCGCCGAGGAGCGAGGCCACCCGGAGGGGCAGGACGGCGCGGTGCATGGCCTGGTGCGTGGTGGCGAGGCTGCGCAGCCACGCCGGGAGCGTCGCGGGGAGCGCGTCCGCATAGCAGCTGCACAGCGCGCCCTCGACGACGACCGTGCCGCACTGCGTGAGCGGCGCGTAGAAGCCCTTGTCGGACACCTCTCGGCGGCGCGCCGCAAGGGATGTGAGAAGGAGCAGGGCTTCTCAGAAGGCGGCTGGGCTTCTCAGGAGACCCCTGGCCGTCTGAGAAGGTTTCTGTGTCTTGTCCTTGGGGAAGGCTGAGGACCCCTCTCAGAAGGCCCGAGGCCTTCCGAGCCTCCTGGGAAGGCCCGCCCCTTCTCACTTCCCCCCCCCAGGCTCGCCGCCGAACCACGCCCACCTCCGACACCTGCACGCGGCGGAAGCTGCCGCAGAGGGGGTCGACGCGCAAGATCCACTGTCCCTCAGCAAGCGCCGCCGCCGGCACCGCGACGAGGAGAGCGTCCTCGGAGCTCGCGGCGAAGACCAGGTGCTCTGGCGAGAGCAGAAGCGGTGCGCCGTCCGTGGCACCAGCCTTGACGGACACGAAGCTCGCCGGGTTGGAGACCTCCATGTGCATGTGGCCCAAGAAGGGGCTGAACAGCAGCTGCCCCGCGCCGACGTCGCCGCAGAGGAGGGAGTCGCCCTGGCTCAGCTCACTCACCGGCACGGGCCCGCGGCCCTTCACGTAGACGCTGGCCCGGCCGGGGAAGCAGCCCGCGCCGCCCTCCCCCTCTTTCTTTTCGTCGTCTTCGCCCTCTGGCTTCTTCGTACCCTTGTCCTCGAAGGACGAGGCGTCGGAGAAGGCGCGGCGGCCACCGGAGGCGGTCTTGGACGCGGGCAGCGCGGCCCAGGAAGCAAAGTCGAAGCCCCTCTTCGCGCCGCCACCGCCCACCACTGATGCGCCCGCTGCACCCAGCCAGGAGGTGGCCTCAGGGCCAAGGCCAAAGCCGCACACCATCAGAACTCTAAAGGCCTGCGCCTTGCCTCGGGCGGCTGCTTTCTGGGGCGGCGCCAGCGCGGGTAAACCCGCGCGTGATCACGGGCGCGGAAAAGCGATGGCGACAGCTCGAGTCAACTTACGACGGCGACTACCAGATACTGTTGTGTGTACTGGTGATCCTTATTTTGACGCTTGTACTGGTACCCCTCTTGCGACTGCTAAGGCGACAAGACAGCGACGGCTACTATCACTACATCTACTACTACTGTTACTACTACTGCTACTACTACTGTTACTACTACTACTACTACTCTACTACTACTACTACTACTACTACTACTACTACTACTACTACTACTACTACTACTACTACGACTACCACGACGACTACTACTACTACTATACTTACTACTACTACTACTACGACTACTACTCTACTACTACTACCTACTACTACTCTACTACTACTCCTACTACTACTACTACTCCTACTACTACTACTACTACTACTACTACTACTACTACTACTACTACAACGACTACTACTACAACTACTACTACTACTACTACTACTACGACTACTACTACTACTACTACTACTACTACTACTACTACTGCTGCTGCTACTACTACTATAATCTCTTAATCCTACTACTACTACTACTACTACTACTACTACTACTACTACTACGAATACTACTACAACGAATACTACTACTACTACTACTACTACGACTACTACTACTACGAATACTACTTCAAAAACTACTACTACTACTACCTCTACTACTACTAATACTACGACTCCTACTACCACCACTACGACGACTACTACTACTACTACTACTACTACTACTACTACTACTACAACTACTCCTATTACTCCTATTACTCCTACTATTACTACTACTACTACTACTACTACTACTACTACTACGACTACTACTACCACTACTACTACTACTAATTCGACGTTGACTACTACTATTACTACTGCTACTGCTACTGCTACTGCTACTGCTACTGCTACTGCTACTGCTACTCCTACTACTCCTAACACTACTACTACTACTGCTACTACTACTACTACGAACCTACTACTACTACTGACTACTACTACTACTACTACTACGACTACTACTACTACTACTGCTACTACTACTACCTAACTACTAGACTACTAACTACTAAGTAGTCTAGTACTACTACTACTTCGACGACTACTCTACTACTACTACTTACTACTACTAACTACTTTATACTACTATGACAACTACTAGGACAACTAGTACTATGTACTAGTAACTATACTACTAACTACTCACTACTACTACGACTACTACTAGTACTACTACGACTACTACAACTACTACTACTACTACGACGACTACTGCGTCTACTACGACTACTACGACTACTACTACTACTACTCTACTACCACTACTACTACTACTACTACTACTACTACTACTACTACTACTATTGATACGACTGCGACTACTTCTCCTACAACTGATACTGCTACTACTACTACTACTACTGCTACTACTTCTGCTACTACTACTACTACTGCTACTACTTCTACTACTACTACAACTACTACTACTACTACTACTACTACTACTACTACTACTACTACTACTACTACTACTACTACTACTACTAGGGGTGACCGGGCGCTGGTTGCAGCCCGTTCCACCCCAGCGGCACCCCCCAAGGTTCTGATGGAGTTCTGGTGTCTCCGACGGTCCCACCGGAAGGTGGCTGTGATTGTGTGTGGTGGTGTGTGTGGTGGTGGTGTGTGGTGATGTGTGTGGTGGTGCTGTTGTTGTTGTTGTTGTCGTTGGTGGTGTTGTTGCTGTTGTTGTTGTTGTTGCTGTAATTGTTGTGTGTGTGGTGTTGTTGTCAGTCTTGTTGCTGGTGTTATTGTTGGTGTTGTTGCTGGTTGTGTTTGTTGTTATTGTTGGCTCTTGTTCTAATTGGTTGTTATGGTTGGTGTCGTTGTTGGTTATTGTGGTGTGCTGTTAATGCCCTTGCTGGTTATTGATGGTTGGTGTTGTTGCTGTTGCTGGCTGTTGGTTGTTGTTGTTGTCCTTGTTGGTCACTGTTGCTCGTCATGTTGTTGCTGCTGTTGTTTGTTTGTTTGTTTGCTGTTGTTGGTTGTTGTTGATCGTTGTTGTTGTTGTTGGTTGCTGTTGTTGGTGGTTATTGCTATTGTTGTTGTTGGTGGTGTTGTGGTAGTTCTTGATTGTTGGTAGTTGTTGGTGGTTTATGGTTGTTGATGCTTGTTGTTGTTGTTGAGGTTGTTGTTGTTGTTGTTGTTGTGGTTGTTGTGGTTGTTGTTGTTGTTGTTGTTGTTGTTGTTGTTGTTGTTGTTGTTGTTGTTGTTGTTGTTCATGAGGGCCCTACTGTTCACGAGGACACTACGCGCCCTTAGGGGAGGCCTCTTGGAGACCTCTTAGGGAGTCTTGGAAGCCTCTTGGACCGTCGTGGAGCCATCTTGGGGCGTCGCGAGGGCCTCTGGGGCCGTCGCGGAGCCAGCTTACGCCACGGTCTTGGATCTCTCTCTCGGGTCGCCTTGGTGCCTTTGGGGTGAGAAGCTGAAAAACACTCTAACAAAAACCATCGAAACAAGTTGGAAGCTTTGGGACAACGTTGGGAAAACTGTGGGGACTTTTGAAAAAAACAAGCCGGGGAAAACTTTGGAAAACTTTTGGCGTCTCTGGGCCCTCTCAGGAGGCCTCTTGGGGCGCAGCGTGCCCGGGAGCGAGGACGGGAGGCGAGGAGAGCAGGGCCCGCCACCCCGAGGCTCCCGTCAGGGATCCCCCCCCCCCCCCCCCCCCAGGGAGTGGAAGCGAGCAGCGCCCCCCCTCTGCGAGGCGGGGATTCATCCATGTCCGCCGCCTGTGAGCCGACGTCCTTTGTGCCCCAGCGGGCGGTGGACATGGATGACTGTTTGGCCCCCGGGGGCCCGGAGATGTCCATATCCACCGCCTGCCGAGGCTCGGGCCCTCTCCCCGCTCCCCGAGAGAAAAAAAGAAGCGGCAGACATGCGCGCGGGTTGCCTCTTCAAGACGTCGGCTGTCTGAGGTCCAGGTGCGCCGAAGATTGGCGGCGCGCAGAGGGGGGCAGGGCGAGGGGGGAAGGCGTCTTCGAAGCATCCCTGCTTCTTGGAAGGCGCGGGCCTTGTCTGTAAATGTAAGGCCCGCGGCTTCTAAGAAGCAGCCTCCTTCTAATGCGGGATGACGATAAGTAAAAAATGAGAGATAACGATTAAACACATAGTTTTCTGCTATTTATGCACAATTTTCTGACTGGAGGAGACCGATATAAAGCATAGTTTTCCAGCCCGCGGCCGGATTTTTCGAATCGTCATCCCAGGCGCCGCCGCGTGAACACGACCCCAGGTCATTTATCAATCGTCATCCTCCATTACCCCCCCTCTGCGCGCCGCCAGGAAGAGGGGGGCCGGGAGGGGGGCAGCGCACCACGGCCCGAGGCACGCGCGAGCGGGCCGTATTGGGGGCCACCGGGCGTGCGCAGAGGAGACGAGGGGAGCCATGACATCTGGGATATCTCAAAGCTCCCCTCGCCTCAGGCGAGACTATGGGAAGATATGGGACGTGGGGGGGAAGACAAACATCCAGAACATGGGGAATGAGATTGGACTTCCTAGGATTTGTCTACTTCATAGTCATCACCCTCCTCGTTCGACGCCTCGTGACGGAGATATGAGATATCTGAGAGACATCTGAGATATCTAAAAGCTCCCCTCGTCTCAGGAGAGAATGTGGGAAAAGATGGGACGTGGGGGGGAAGCCGAAAGACACATAAAACGTAATCCAAAAATACTTGTTGTATGGTGGCAGTAACACGAAAAATCGTCACCGCACTATGTTTTGACTATTCTTGGGTATTCTTCCTG